ATCTGGGACTCAGAGCAGAGGGAGAGGAATGAGGTGAGGAGGATGTTGAAAACAACAGAACAAAGATGAAGATGGATAGTGGAGGAGGCTAATGAGAGGCAGCCTGGGAGAGTATAATGGGCAAAGCTCACAGGCACGGGTTCACCAGAGCTGAGGAGCTTTTTAGGCAAGTGTGAGCGAGGGATCCAGGAGTCTTTACCCCAATCTAAAATCATCCAGTGTGACACCAACACAAAGAGTGGCCTTGCCTTGACGCAGCGCTGCCAGACGTCTTTTGATCTCTTAATCAGGGAGATCTGTGAGGGACACGTCTCCTAACGGTGGAGGAGACGCCTGGCAGCAACAAATGAGCCTCACACTATGACTCACAGCTCTAAAGCTCTGCCAATACCCCATGATCCTCGGTGCAGGCCGCAACACCGTGTGTGTGTCTTAAAGAGAGGGAGGGAAAGGTGGTGGGGTACAAGGGAAGAAGTGTGTGTGTGTGTGTGTGTGTGTGTGTGTGTGTGTGTGTGTGTGTGTGTGTGTGTGTGTGTGTGTGTGTGTGTGTGTGTGTGTGTTGTGTGTGTGTGTGTGTGTCTGGTGCACCCTGTCTGATACACAGGAACTGATGGGAGAGGTGGCGTTGAAGTACGACAGCTCTCACTTGTGAAGCCTGCCCTCAGAGTAAGCCCTGCAAGAGATAGAGATATCACTCTCACTTTCTCTCGATTCGAACACACACACACACACACATGCAGAGAGAGTGAGATGGTGCTCTGTTAAGATGTGATTAGGCTGACTGTCAGTTGTGAAGGGTCCTATCAAGGTTCAGTGCACCCTGAGAGCACACAAACGATGTTCTTAGCCATCCTGCCTGACAGACCGCTCGTGGAGGAATGTCAAAGCTGGAAATAACAAGCGGCTCTGACTTACAGCTGGACCGACAAACAACCAGGCCTTGCCAATGGGAAGAAGAAAAAAATAACAAAAAATAGATGGACCCCAGGAGCATGCCGAAATCAGGAGAGGAATACCTGCATCGATCTGCCAGGGAATGTATATATTGAGAGAGACGGACCTATTTTGGAGCTGGTGGACCAAAGCATTCACTTTGACTTGATGGGATGTGGCCTTGTTTTCTAAAAATGTGCTGTTGTTGTGCCCTAGACGAGGTTTCCATGTAGACATGGGTATCAGAAATAAAGGCCTCCATGATGGCTGTGACACTTTGGCACCTCGGCCACATTTTACACCAACCAGGCTGTAGAAGATCTGTGCAGTAGACCATCACTGAGCAGCATGAGGTTTGCATGAATCCTTTAAAATCTAAAGTAAAAAAAATGGATGTAGTTTTTGTTGTTACTATAATTGTGTGTGTGTGTGTGTGTGTGTGTGTGTGTGTGTGTGTGTGTGTGTGTGTGTGTGTGTGTGTGTGTGTGTGTGTGTGTGTGTGTGTGTGTGTGTGTGTGTGTGTGTGTGGGTGACGGTGGCACAGGAGTTAAGTGCTCGCCCCGTAATCGGAAGGTTGCAGGTTCGAGCCCCGCTCAGTCTGTCGCTGTCGTTGTGTCCTTGGGCAAGACACTTAACCCACGTTGCCTGCTGGTGGTGGTCGGAGGGACCAGTGGCGCCAGTGCTCGGCAGCCTCGCCTCTGTCAGTGCGCCCCAGGGCAGCTGTGGCTACATTGTAGCTCATCCCCACCAGTGTGTGAATGTGTGTGTTAATGGGTGAATGACTGATTGTGTTGTAAAGCGCCTTGGGGGATTCCAGGACTCTAGAAGGTGCTATATCAAATACAGGCCGTTTACCATTTTACCATTTAATTATATCTGACTGTCTCTTATATAATGATACAGACATAAGGTTTGATACAGCAGATTTCTGATGAACGTACTAATCCTGATACTCCACATTGGCTCATTTAAGGCCAGAAGGGGTTTAAAGTGAATTTGTGGCGGAAGAAATAGTTTCAGTTGAAAGTCTGTGCAGTATGAATACCTCAGCCGTTGCAAAGAGCTGTTTGAAAAATCTAAATTTACATCCAAAGAGTTTTAAGTCTGACCGGATTGACAGACTAGTGGAGTGGGGCCAAGTCCAACAAGGATTGCTCTCGTCTTAGCCTTCTGAAAACCTGTGTCCTCATGTGACACCAACCTCTGATGTCCAGGATTTTAACTTTAACCTGCAGTTTTACACTGCGGTCACCAGATGGCACTCTAACAGGCGCCAGATATGATTCGACTGAAAGATGATGAGTTCAGTCAGCTAATAGTGAAAAGAGCAGAATGTATGATGACTCCAAAGAACAAAACATCAATCAGTTTGTTTTTGTGCAACCAGAAATATCCTTATATGTTTGTTCAAAGATTTTTGATTCATTTAGGCAGCATCTAAGATTTATAACTGGGCTAGTTTATGCATTAGTTTTACTGAGAATGCTGCTTGATGCTCTGGGGTTTGATGAGTAATAAAACATAGTTTACTCCTACACATTTGAAGCGCATGACATGCACAACATGAGCTTCTGGCACACCACAAGTTGTCCGTTATTTGTCTGGTAAACATCATTAAAACTGATCTTTGTCCAAAATGAGCTTATTTAAGGAGCTGTCTACAACATGCAGACATTCACTTATGACCTTTGTCACAAAGCTACGTCAGTTAACCTCAGCTATAGCTTGAACTATAGTCAACAAACCTTCCATTAAGTTTACTTGAATGGCAGCATTTTGGTTACACTGCACAGGGACATGTGGTGATTTGCATAAAATTGTGGCCAAAATCAGTCCGTCAAAATGTGCCATGAAGCAAATAACCTTTTATTTTAAACAGACGATGCTGCAGAAGGATTTCCCTAAATGTGGGTCACGGTTTAAATCCAAGGACACCAAATAAGCACATCCCATATGTGTGTCTATCTGAATCTGTCAGTAGCTTTGCTGCAGCATTACAGCAGGTTGATGACTCCCTGTGCCAAATTAATTAGGATATTCCAGTAGGAGTCAATAAGGATGAGAGAACGTGAGTCACACCTGGAACAGGAAGCAAGGTTGAAAACTAGAAATTCTCACATCGGTTCAGAAGTCAAAATGGCTCCCCCACTGAGAGGTGGACATCACATGTTGTAAGGACAGACAGTACATTAATAATCTAGCTCTGTGTTTCATAGTCACATGATGGTAAATAAAGCACCAAACACCGGCATTAGAAAGCCTCCAGAGTCAGCTCTAAGCCCTCTGCGTGCACGCTGGTGGGACCGTTGTATTTGTGCACAGTCCCAGCTTGTGGTGTCTGGGTCACTGCATGCTGACAAACAGCATGCAGCAGACGGATTCCAGGCTCCATGATTCATGTAGACAGTTTGATTAAAGAGCAAATCGCAGCTCCTGCAGAGCTAGAAAGGGTGGCCCAATCACCGCAAGGAAAACACTGCTCAGTAAGCTTCTTCACATAAACTTCTAAAACTTCTCTTCAGTTACCAAGAGACTCATACATGGTTAGGTTTCCTCACGAATGGCCTCACATCAAGTCTGTTTGCTATGAGAGTTTTCATAAGGATATGTTTTAAACTGTTTTAGTTCAAAAACCTGAACTTTATGAGCATTTGAACTTTTGAACCTGGTGACTACCTCCAAGCTTCAGAACCATCAGCCAAGTTGGAGTAATCATCCATCCATCCATCTTCTGAACCCGCTTAGTCCATGTAGGGTCGCGGGGGGCTGGTGTCCATCTCCAGCGGTCAATGGGCAATCAGGCGGGGTACACCCTGGACAGAGAGCCAGTCCATCGCAGGGCAACACAGAGACACACAGGACAAACATGCACACACACACACACACAAACACACCTAAGGACAATTTAGACAGACCAATCAACTTAACAGTCATGCTTTTGGACTGTGGGAGGAAGCCGGAGTACCCGGAGAGAACCCACGCATGCACAGGGAGAACATGCAAACTCCATGCAGAAAGATCCCAGGCTGGGAATCGAACCCAGGACCTTCTAGCTGCAAGGCAACAGCTCTAACCACTGCGCCACTCTGCAGCCCTCGGATTAATCAATCCTGTTAAATCATCTTTTAAAGCCTGACAGTCATGTGGTTCTGTTTTACTGTATCAGCCAATAGCATTGTTCCCAATGGTTGTTTGATGCATTTTTCATTGCATTCATGCAGTGTTGAAATGTTTGTCGGTGAGACCAACAACACAAAGACACCGTCTCCACTTTCTGTTGTTGAAAAATTAAGACATACTACAGGTGAATGTGATTCTATTAGGCAGCAGTAGCTCAACAGGTTGAGCGGGTTGTCCAGTAATCAGAAGGTTGCAGTAGGACAGATAACTCTGCTGTTGTGTCCTTGGGCAAGACACTTAACTCACCTTGCCTGCTGGTGGTGGTCAGTGGGACCAGTGGCGCCTGTGCTCGGCAGCCTCGTCTCTGTCAGTGCGCCCCAGGGCAGCTGTGGCTACATTGTAGCTCATCACCATCAGTGTGTGAATGTGTGTGTGAATGGATGAATGATACACCGTAGTGTAAAGCACTTTGGAGTCCTTACTCTGAGAGGTGCTATACAAGTGCGGGTCATTTATCATTTATCATTTATTTAATCTGGTAATCCTCTCAATAAAAAAAGTAATGTTGTTCTGGGAATGACTGGATTTCCATCTTCGTCTGACATCCTAAAACCTCTCGGGTAAAATCAGGAATCATGGGTGAAGGTGATGTGGTTTACGGCTATAGGAACGGGGACTGTGTCTGACTGATGGTCAGAGTTTAACTCTGGTGTTCTTCAGTTAAACTGTTCCAAGGATCAGACTAGTGCCAGTCCAGAAGACCGGAACATGATCCTGATCAAGCGTGGACTCATCTGAACTCGTCAGAGGAAAACTAGCCTAAATGGTGTCGGCAAACACCCCCAAAGCACATAAAAGATCTTTATCTAAGGTTCTCTTTTTTTTTCAATTTGTGAGTATTTCCACCCATATGAAGAGAGTACAGTGAAATTAAAATAACAAATGTGTCATTTTTCTGTCTTTTGATCACATATTGCATTTAAAACATGGTTGGAAGCGAAAAAAATGGCATCTTCACACAAATGGATTCCAGAAGTGTTATTTAGGTTTTCATCGGGTGTACTTTTAAAAATTCCATTAGAAAATGTTGCAACCACTGGAACAAGATCCAACACAATCATCCTGATGCGTTCATGGAGCCAACGGTGGATTCACATTTTTATGCAATAAAATAAAAAGCATTCGTTTGAAAATAATTATTTTATTTGAATGTGGTTTTGTAAACAAGTTAATGAATCCAAAATGTACGAATGCGTCTCATCTCAGGGAATTTTCTACTAATTCTGGTAAATTTTATAATGGCAAAACAAAACATTTGAGTCTGGTTGAGATTTTAAGCTATTATGATTAAACCCAAACAAACTATATAGTCTGGCTTTCATTCCGTCATAACAATGATGCGTTTAAATCAAATCTAAGTCCTTTCATATAAAACACACCATGCTGTGACGGGAATGGAGGAAAAGGCCAGAAACATGTAAAGGTTGTTGGACCGAGACGTGAACTCTGCACTAAACCAGAGTTAACCAGTTTTCAGGAGGACAGCGAGGTCTTTGTGAGCATCGAGGCTGCCATGGGCGTGCCACCTCTCATCTCAAGCTCTGCCTCCACATTTTGACCAGACTTCTGTGGAAAACACAACCGACATCGTTTTCTCTTAACAAGCACTTGTCATCTCCGCCGCACCCACGCTCGCCCTGCAATCATCCTCTTCTCTCCCTCTTCACCCTCTTCTCCTCTCCCCGAGGCCTGCAGCTCATTATTCACCTTGTTTTGCCTGCAATTGACGGAGAGAATACGGGGAAGTAAGGAAAGACGGATAGACGGTCAAGTTGTTTACTGCAGTGATACGAGAGCGATGAGGATGACCGTTACGCCACAGCTGAGTAAAATGTTTCACTGATGCAGAAAGACGTTTTCATCACTTCTCCGTGAATGGAATGGAAATAAAACAGGGCCCTCTTGTGATTCAGCAGGAACAAACACAACGAGCAGATAGCGTGTGATCGCTGATTACCGACGCCGCCTCCAGAATCTCAACACATGGATTCAAACGCGGATAAAAACACGGGACTGGTCCGACGTGAGCCTGAACGAGCTGTAACGTCAGAAACTCCAAAATAACTTAAAAAGGCATTTTAACCTGATGCCTTCAAATACACAACATCTAAGGAGGCTAAACACTATGTTCAGTTCTTGTTTCGGAGGTTTCAAAAGGAGAAAAAGACAAAAGACAACATTTAGATATTACAAAGTCTTCAGATGGGATTCTCATCGTCTCTGGCTGGGTGAGGCCGTGCCATTCTCTTAAAGAGTCCACGCATTCTCTCCACACAATGATCAAGTACTCCAGGAGGAAAACACACATGTTTATGCACAGTTCTGTGTGAGTGTGTGTGAGGGAGGGATGGAGGGTGGGGCAAATAGCCTCGGTGACAGCATTTCCTTCAGAAGCTCCAAGGCGCCGACTCTCGGGTGACAGAGCTCTACGGCTTCCTGCTGGAGCAGGACTTGCAGCACTGCTGTCCGTAGAACTTATGGGTGCAAACGCCGTGTTGGGGAACCAGGTGGCACCAGCTGAAGAGGTCAGCGCACCGCTCATCTGCAGAGGAAATAAACACAGATCAAGGAAACTGATTACAGCCTAAAATGGTCCCAACCTAGCAGCAAAGTAGAGACGGAAACCATCCGGCTCCAAGGAACTCCTAAAATGTCGGTGTATGAAATAAGATCCTCCCTATAGAAAGGGACAAGCGTTAAGTGCTGATATAACCCTGATGGTGTGTGCTAGCTTGTAATCTAAATACGGTAATGACTCAATAGTTTCAGATGCATGAAGGGATTTCTCTTCAGGAGGAGGATTTTGTACTGTTTATCTACTGGGAATTGAGTTTATTTAGTCATTACCAAAAATAAAAAAATGCCAATTGCAGCTCGATACCTTTCAGTGTTGACCCAGCAGCTGAGACACGGTTGCTGGGGCGTTGTACCGGAGCCAGGGGAGCTGCAGGACAGAAGTGTGTGTTGCACGCTCTTGAAGTGGCAGGTCTCTGGTGGGGCAGGCAGCCGGCTGAGGGGAGACCATGCCGCAGACACTGGATGGTTCGAGTCTGAACTCCTCCTCCACAGGACACAGAGCACTGAGTCAGGAGGGAAGAGAGGGAGGTGAATGTGTGAGAGACCAGCAGAGAAGGTAACAGGATGAGATGAAACGCAGAAGCAGAAGCATTCGTCATGTAAGGAGCACTGAAGGAAGGGGTTAGGATGGAGACAGTGAACAGGTAAATTCAAACATCAGCATGTTCTCTCCCTCCAGCAAGTTGTCAGGAGATTTCTGCTCATGTCCAAACATCCAGGCATCATAAGCCTGGGGTCAACAAGAGACGCGGTGCTACCTGAGGTTACCTCTAAGATGTTCTGCATAATAGATGACGCAACGGATGCCACACAAAATTCCCTCAGAACGGCTCTGGAAGAAAGAGAGCGGAGCTTTCTGGATCTCCCCAGAAAGACTATTACACCGCTGGTTAAGAACCTTGTTCCTTACATCACTTGCTGAACAATCTACCTCCCATAGAGGCAGTAAGAGCAGTTAACGGCCCCCCACAGTCTACTGTTTAGCTATAGGGTTAGAAAAACTCACAAACTTGGAAAACAAATGTTGTAATTTTGTTTTCAACCCTTTTCTGGACGGAGATGTCTGATGTTTTTTTCTGGCGTCTGCTTTAGCCACTCCTCCAGTTTGGGGGTTACTGCCCCGAGTGCCCCCATGACCACGGGCACCACCGATGTCTTCACTCTCCAGGCTTTCTCAAGTTCTTCTTTAAGGCCCTGCTGTATCTCCAGTTTCTCATGTTCCTTTTTCTTGTTGTTACATCGCTTGGTATTGCCACACAGATGTTCCTGTACACTATGCCAGCCACTGGGTCCTGTCATTCCACGTATTTATATATACTTATATATATATATATATATATATATTTTTATTATTATTATTTTCCTTAACCACACACTGCTGGTGCTGCTACTAGGTCGTGGTAATGTCCTAAGTAGTTTCTTAATCATTATTTTAATCATTATTTTTGCGTTTTCTGCAGTTTTCAGTACAGTGCCTTCTCAAAAAAAGAAAACGCGTGATCATGTGTTTCTGCCTCTGTAGTCTTATTTCGAAAGGATTGGCATTAATCCTCTGGAGGCAGGCGTTGCAGATTTGCAACGTTAAAACCTACCTACCTGGTTACTCCACCTACCCAGAAGTACCCCTGATGGACTTAGTTGTTCGTCCTTTTATCAAAACCTATTTTCAGCCTGAGAGGGTAAAATAGATTTGAAATGAAGCCTCATGAATCACAGAATGTGAGAAACACTCTAAACGAACAGACCTGTAACACACTAGCAGACATAGCGTTTCTCCTTCTTCCTGTTTGGGTTCAGACTCTGAACAGATGTACCTGCTGCCAGGGAGAAGAGTACCAGCCCAAACCCATGGCGCTGGAGGTTGTTCTGCCAGGGACTGCCTGCGGGACCTCTGGGCACAGACCTCGGTTACAAACTTGCTGAAGTTCCACCAATGGCTTGGCCATATTTCTGCACCTCCGTATGGGGTATTCAACATACCTGTGTGGGAGTAAACACACTGTCTGCTCAGAATTACTGTTCCCACAGAGAATCCCATTTGAAAACATAGAAAATATGATTCAGAGGACGGCACACGGATGACGCAGTGGGGTCTCAAGTGTCTGTGCAAGAGTATTAAAGTGTGATGGATGTCTTGGTGTGCAGCTGAAAGCACATACCCTTCCTGTGAGTCTCTCTCCCCACAGCGAAGCTCTCTCCTCTGGATGCCTGATCCACAAGACCTGGAGCACTAAAACAGAGTGCAGGCAGGAGGGACAATTTTAGAAAATGAACTCTGAGAGTGTGTGTAGGGGCTGTGGAGGGTTCCTGTGGCTGCAGGTACCACCAGCTCACTTATCATTCTAGTAATAGAGCAAAAACTGCTGTGCTTTACTGGCTATTTTTCAGTATTTACTGTATGTAAAATGAGCAGATTATGGGTCTGTGTTTTGTTCTTCTGTTTTGTTCTGATAGGTTTGTTTGTCCATATTCAGAGACATATAAAGTGTGTATAGGCTGCTAAAGCATGGGGTCAGATTTTCATTAGAAGTTCAAAAGGTCAGGCGAAAAAAATCAATAAACGTTCTTCTGGATCTTTTCTTTTGAAAGTTGTTCTTATTTGCTGACGGGGTTTAGATGACATTACATTTATTATAATGCATTTATGTGTCATTATCAGTTCTATTTTACTGTTAAATTCAGCTTGTAATTAATTTGCACAGTGTTGTCACATGCAACTCGTTCCCCCAACCCCTGCTTTTAGGCGGTAAAGCTTTAGGACAGAGAAATAAGGTTGCCGGAAGTAAAATTGGATTAGGGACGCTTGTTTTTTAGCGTCACAAACCCAAACTTCCATCTATATTTGAACATCAGGCAAGTAAATGTGTCCCAAAAGAGATGGGCCCATTGTCGGCTTCATTTGCTGTCGGGGCATGGAGGGGTTAAAGCCAAACTAAAGACTTTTAATACTTTGAGCTTTTGCTTTCTATTAATTGGTTTCAGTGGTTCTCCAGCTATAAAAATGAGCAACTTCACATTGGACTGCATTCTGCAGCCTTCTGCTGAGCAGAAACCACACTTAGCAGTTTTGTGGTTCAGGTAGGAACACTAGTGGGAGGTCTACCTGTTTAACGGCAACAGCTGTTTACTGCGCCGGTAGCTAAAGGCTAGCAGTTAGCTTTTCCAGATTGCTGACCGGCAATAAAAAGCACATCAAGGACCTGTAAGTAATAATACTTTTTGTCCAACAGTGCAGATATTTGACTTTGTGGCTAATCTCGTGTTAACGTTAGCTCATTGTGAGCTCTAGCTACAGCAGGCTGTGGCAGGGTTGTTGACGATAGCTGTAAATCATCTTTCAACCAGTAGGAAGGGGAATGGGAACCATGTCAAGTGTTGCTTTAATGCCTCCAGCGTTGACTGCATGGAAAGGGGGTTTCTGTGTGAAGACTTGGCCGCCTGTGAATGCTTTGGGACTGGGGAGAGACTCATGGAAACATCTGCTGCTCGTTGAGAAGAGTAAAAACGATAAGTGGCTTCATGTTAAAGGCTCCAAAACTCAGTCGCTAGTCACCCGTTAGCAAAAGAATAGCTGGAAGAGTCTGAATGCTCACTCGTTATAGGTGCTGCTTCTTTTTGAAGTATTATCATAACATTTTAGAGTGAGAAATAAGGTATTATCTGAATAAGAACTGAGGTCGGAGCGTGTTCATCACATATATTCACTTACTAAACTTTAGTGTTGTGCAGAGAAGGCTGCTTTAATCTGCATTTAACTACGCTGATTACACATCATCATCTTTATTATTTATCACAACAAGACGATTACTCATCCAGTCAGCTAAATTAGTACAGCTGTTTATTGCTGCCACATCAACAAAAAAGTGCATTGAACTGGAAACTAATTAACAACAGCAGGAAAAGCAAAAGTGAAAAGTACTTTTTACTTGATTCAATTAAATAGACTGTGAACGATCAAACAGCATTGAAGTAAGGCACTAAGTGTGTGCTGCTTTCATCTGCTTCTGTCTTGACTCTCGGCTCACTTTCTGCTTTTTTTTTCTTTGAGAATGTTCATTTCAATGAGCTCATAGCAGGGGAGTAAATCTGAGCAGTGATGATGGCTCCAAATGAAGTGTGCTGCCTTGCATATTAATCTGCAGAAGCTGCAAGCAATAAACAGATTTTTCTGTTCTGTCATGAAGTTCTCCTCTAATGACAGCTAAATGTTTATGAGGCTGAGGTCTTACTTCACTCTTTTTCAGGAACTGCCTTCACAGCTGCAAACATTTCAATGTGACGTGATGTCTTCTGCATCGGGAGGGAGACAAGCACCTTTTTCTGGAGGTCTCTTTTGGTCTTACCTCTCCCCAGGGGGTAAGAATCCACTGTAGCTTCTCGTTTTTGGGGCAACGCTGCAGGACACACGTCTCTTGGGCTTTGGGTTTGTGGTGCTGCCTGCACATGCTGTCAGGCACCACCACCGCATTGGCCCCCGGATCAGTGCTGCGGCAGAACACGCTTCGCTTCCTTAGTCCACGGCCGCAGGACTTAGAGCACTGAGAGTGAACCAGGAAGAAACAAAAATAGTCATTGTGAAAACAAGGACATCAGTGAGAGCTGTTGCAAAAATGCAACTTCACTCTAGTGTTTTGATTTTAGTTGCAAGTGATCACAAAAATGTTCTAACAAAAATGAATACAAATGTCCTTCCCTTCCGAAGGCTAGTGCCACTTTGTCTGGTGGATGTGGTTTGAAAGTTCCTGGAAATAAAGACTCATGACTACTCTCTGAAGGGTGGCGGTCTCCAGTGACGTTTTCCTAAGGCTCTATCTGTGTGTTTGAAAATAACGTTTTGAACTCAACTCCATGTTGGTAAATCATGGCTACATAGCAGCTCTTCTCTCCTTTTAAAGCAGCACTATGGCTCATAAATCAAATGAAAAATTAACTCAATGTGTGGTTTCAATTAAATGGATTTATTTATACCACTCACCGCTGCCATCTTCTGGTAAAAATCAAGGTCTGCATTTCATAAAATGTGATTTCTGGATATTTTAGGATTTCCATGATCCTAAAACCTTTGTCTATAGTTTATAATAACAGCCAGCTTTAGCACTGTGAACACAGGTCTTAATAAGTGGTCTAGTGAACCCACCAGAGTGACCCAGTGAGTATGGAGCGCTCTTATTTTGACAAGCTGCACTACAATGTTCCTGTTTTGTTTTGGTGACTTATAAATACATTTAATGTGTTTCCTGATTAATCTGGTAAATAACAAATAATCTTGATTTCAATATTGACCCAAAAATTTGTGACAATGATTTTTTTCTCTCTAATCAAGAAGCCGTAACAATGACCCTACACAGATGACATCATTAATGCCTTCCAAGTACACGGTCACTTGATGATGAAAGCAGTTGCTATTCACCGTGTGCTGGACAGGAAAACAGAAGGTCATTGATGGCAACACATTATGGCCAATCATGAAATACAATAAACCAAGAGCTGTGAGATGAATGTGACCTCATCAACGTCTCCACCGACTGCAGACTGAGCTGCTGTAGACTCCACATGAACTGCACAGAGACGGACAACAGCTCCGCTGGGACCAAAGCCGACCGGGCTGTTTATCCGACAGCATCCCATTCATTTATCAGACAACACACGCACCCTGCCTGTGCATCAGCATGCACAACTGCATGCATCCCAGTTGTCCTCTTGTCACTGAAAGCTCTGATTGATCTCCTCGGCCTCGCCTCTGTGTGACCGCCGACTGAACTTGTGTTAGAAAACAGCTTGTGGCATCGCAAAGAGCGATGGCTGAATTACAGCAGAATATCTGGATTGTGCCGGTCACAGAAGCTAACAGAGGTGCTGTCAGGCGGTTACAGTTGTACACAGAAATGTGAGCCAAGAGCAGCAACTTCAGCTCCGAAATGTGTAAATAGAAAATATCTGAATGCTTAAGACACCGGGTTTGAATAGATGAACAGATTAATAAGTAATAAATCATGAATTGGTTTATAGTATGAACTCAACCATCTCACGATATCAATGTTTGTCCAATGAGGGCGGATTAAATTATTATCTATCAAGATAAAAAAAACACCAGAACAAAAATAAATGCTAAAGATAATAAATGCATTTTTGAATCATAGCAGATTAATACATTATCTTTTATTTAACCAGGAAGAAAATCCTGATGGGATTAAAAATCTCCTTTTCAAGAGAGACCAGTCAAGATACAAGCAACATGTTGTTTCTTTCAATGTCATCCACTTGGCCAGCAGAGGGCAGCAGAGCATTACTTGAACTAGTCCTCCACATTTGTAACTCTGGCTGGGTTTAATCCCAGCAGCATGTGCACCATTCTGCCAAGGTTTTAGCCACCAAGCTACCAACCAACAAACAAACTGAGTTAAAACTGAAACTACAAACTTGTTTTTGACAGTCACTGAAAAGTGAATGTTTTTTATTTTTGTTATGTTAGTTTCGTAATGCGCTTGTCACAAAATGTGGTTTAGCTAAATTTTGAAGGTTTGCAGCTCTGTACTCTTTTGCTATAAGAACACTTCATCATTAGCAAATATGCATTTAATGATATATTAAATTAAAAGTCCAATTCTGGAAGTTGATTTGTATTTTATTGACTAGAAATGGTGAATAGCTGTTGAGCTGGAAATCTGTGTTAAAATAAAAAATGGCTAAATCTGCAGACTGCAGACACATACAGAGCAGTGAAAAAGTCTCTGCCCCCTTAAAACACTTTATTTATTTATTTGTCCCCTAAGTGTAATAGATCAGCAAACAGGGTTAGGACACTAACATTTGTAGAGATTAACCCAACCATCCTAGTTCAATGTGAAAAAGTGGCTGGCTCCCTTGTTGCAGGGGCATCTCCAGAAAATTTTGATAACGGGTGGCCAGATGGGGCCAAAGGAATTTTTGGGGTGGCCCACCAAATTGGTCCATGTGGTAGCTCTGGAAGAGTTTAGCCTATGGCCATATATTGCATTGCTCCTTTATTTGCTTTTATTTAAAATTAAAAATAAAAAAACAGTATGTATCCAAAACATTTAACTTAAATTTTACAAACACAAACTTTTCAGAAAAATGTATTTCAGTTACTTCAAATTTGATTTTAAAATGTATTTTTTTGTTCAATTCACAAAAAACGATGGAGATAAAAACTTTTTTAAAAGGGTGAGCAGCAGAAACATATGTAATTTTTCTTGTTCTTGTTCTGTGTGCGCACGAAGCGGTACAAGTGATAATGCTGCTGGAATTCATAATTTTATCCTTTTCAGCAGCCAACACATTCTCACACCCTAAGCGTCGAAAAATTACGCGGTGTGACCAAGCACTTGTTTCCGACGCGTTGGGAGCCCCTGCACGTCGGGAGACGAGATTTCACCAATTTCACTGGCATTTCACCTCTAACCTCTAGCGATTTAACCTTCCCCTCACCCACATCCTAACCTTAACCCAGTATGTCAGTCTAAATTTTCCGTTAAGCGTGTTTGAGAGGAACGATGGAACGTGAAGCAAAGCTTTGCGTGTGTGGTTAAGGGATGAGGGTGAGGGGAAGGTTAAATGGCAAGAGGGTAAAGGTCACAATTTGGTCAAATCTCCGTTTTACCGCGGGCGTGGGAAACCGACGATCTGGCACAGCGCGTCATTTTTCTACGCTTAGGGTGTGAGGATTTGTTGCTGCAGGTGCTCTCCATGTCCAAAATGTGCGTAAGCCAGGTCCTTAGTCAACTTAAAGTTGTGCACATTTTTCCGCTAAGTTTTCTTTTATAAATCCCAAATTTTGCGTGGAAAGTTGCTTACGCAGTTTTCCGACCCCTTTTTGTGTGTAAGCAAGCTTGATAAATGAGGTCCCTGATCACTATCAGACCTTCTAACCAGCAGACCTGATCACTACCAGACCTCAGGCGTGCAGTCAGGGTGGGGGACAGGGGGGAACTGTCCCCCCAAATTCAGATCGACCCTGATTTGTCCCCCGCACTAATGCCAGAAGTTAAACTAAAATGGAGGTTAAGAGCTTGATGCTCCTTTTTCCAAATACATTGAATGCAGCATGACGTAAACAAACACCGACTCCAGAGGTGCCAAAGTGGTTGCTGCTGGGATGCAGGATGAAGCGAAAAAGGCAAGCAACAATTACTGCTGTAACAGAATGAAATTACTGTTTTTCCCCCTCCTCTGCACAGAACTAGTCTGCATGAGATATGGCCTCAAGGTCTCATGCATTCGCTTCTAACCTGCTTACTTTCAGCTCAACAGAAGAATGAAGAATGAAGAATGGACTCTTTTCTTTTAATTAATCAAAGAACTCTATTACTTTTTTATAATCCTATAGAACATAAAGGTATTATGACTTTAAATGTTCCAACAGGACTGATTTCACATAGTGTTTAAAGACATAACACATTACTTTCACTGATCCAATCAGAATCTGACAGGTCTGACGGAGGCGTGGTTTTGATGGTATTTGGTAAAACCTGTCAACTTTTCATTCGACCATAAATCAAAACATCCGAAGTATGGCCACAGTAGTGGAACAGGTCTGACTGACTACAATGGGACCGATTTTGCTGCGGAGTTCGTGCCGGAGCGGAGCGGAGGTAGAGGAATTTTGGGGTAAGGCGTTTCATTGCATTATTTTTTTTTTGCTACTATTATTGTTATTATATTTAATGTTGCAAATGATAATAACGATTACAATAATACCCTTATTATTTACTCTCTATTATTTACTATAAGATTAATGTATGCATTTAATTACTTATTTTATCTCATATGAAGGCGTCATATTATAGCTACTCACACACACATCTATGCGTGCACTAAGGTTTGTCTCATGGAACGTACATGGGGCTGGCTCTAGAGAGAAGAGATAACATTTTTTTGATCAGTTAAAAAGAGTGCAAGCAGACATAATATTGTTACAAGAGACTCATAGATCTGCCACATCTGCAGATGAACTTAAAACACCTGAGTTTCCCAGCATGTTCTCTGCCTGCTATAACTCTAGGCAAAGGGGTGTAGCTATTTTAATACACAAAAACATCAATTTCACAGTATTGGACACAATTTCAGACCCAGAGGGTAGATTTATAATGCCCACGTCATCTTTAACGCCAGTTCAAAGCGTTCCAGAGAAGTTGTCGGAATGGCCAATCTGTAACTTTCCTCTTTAACCAAAAGAACAACGACAAGCTGGAAATTTTGTTTTTGTTCCAACTGCTGCAACGGTTCCTTTCAGAATAAAAGCTGAACCATCAAGACCCAGGCTCGGGTCTCACCAGACGCCAACAAATTGTCGTGACCCGGAAGTATCTCACAGACTGGTCTGGTCGGCAACCGCTGCTTTTCCTACCGGCTCGGTTCCAAGAAAGGTCAAGCTGGACCTCGACATTCCTGATCTAACGGGGGCTTCCTGAAGGGTATGTAGACCGGCAAATGGCATTGAATGTGTTTATGAATCTCCTAATCAAAGCTTAACGCAAAGACATCACCTTCAGTTCCCATCAGAACTAAGCGCAGCTTC